CGGCCATTCGTACCATATGCCAGTCACCGGTGGAGCCGCGTTCCCGCCGCCCAGCCTGTACTTTGACCGCACGATCGAGAAGCTCGTCGCCATGTTCCGCACTGACCTCAACAATGGCCTGTCGCCCGAGCAGGTTCTCAAGCACCGCGAATTCTACGGCACCAACGAGCTGCCGCGACCCGTGCGCCGCCCCTGGTGGAAGATCGTCTGGGTCCAACTGACTGATGTCATGGTACTGATGCTGTGTGCGGCCATCGTTGCCACCGCCATCGATGGCGAGTGGAAGTCGTCGATCGTCTTGGCTGTCGTGGTCGTGCTCAACACGATCGTCGGCTCGTGGCAGGAGATCAAGGCTGGCAGAACCCTCTCGGCACTGGAGAATCTGAGCACGCCGCACGCGCAGGTCATCCGCGACGGCAGCCTGGAGACGATTGATGCAGCTGACCTGGTTCCTGGCGATCTAGTCGAGGTCAGCGAAGGCGAATCAATCCCTGCCGACTTGCGGCTTGTTTCATGCGCGCAGCTCGAAATCGTCGAAAGCGTGCTGACTGGCGAGAGCATTGGTGTGCGCAAGGATCCAAAGGAAATCAAGGTGCGTACCCGCCAGCTGCCTCTGGGCGACTGCAAAGGCAACGCGTTCATGTCAACGCTGGTGGCTCGCGGTCGTGGCCGCGGCATCGTCATCCGCACCGGTGCAAAAACCGAGATTGGCAAGATCAGTGTTGCCATCAACCGGTCGGCATCCTCGGTGAGACGCACGCCGATCCAGCGCAAACTCGCCCGCCTCGGACTCTGGCTCGTGGTCTTGGCCCTGTCGCTATGCGCCTGCATTGTAATCTGCGGTGTTGCCTGGGGCCGCAAGTTTGTGCCCATCTTCATTACCGGCATTTCGCTCGCTGTGTCTGTGATCCCCGAGGGCCTGGTGGCCGTGACCACAGTCACTATGTCGCTTGGTGTTCATCGCTTGGCGCGCCGGAATGCCCTGGTGCGGACCCTTCCGGCTGTTGAGACTCTTGGCAGTGTAACAGTGATCTGCTCCGACAAGACCGGCACGCTGACTGAGGGCAAGATGGGTGCTAGCGAGCTGGTTGATGCCAACGGCATATTGTTCGAGTTCACAAAGTCGACATCGCAGGACCCAAATGAGGGCGAGGTTGTGTATCGCGGTCATGTCAGTAGGCGCACGGCACCGCCCATGGACATGACGCAGACAGAAAAGCATGGCACAGCGGCTGCTGACATGTCGATGGTTGCCAGCGCGTTATGCAACAACGCAGAGGTGTTTTACGACGAAGCCGAGGCTCAGTGGAGGAGTATTGGAGACCCAACCGAAGTCGCCATGGTCATTGCTGCACAAAAGGCGGGTGTGCGCAAGCGGGAGTTTGTCAGTGCTGATCCAGCTGCCACGCTCAAGCTCCTAGTCGAAAATGCATTCGACTCGGACCGCAAGCGCATGAGTGTTGTGTACGAGGTCCCCATGCACAGTACCAGCGGCGGGTCGACCACAAGACGCTGCCTGCTGGTGGCAGTCAAGGGCGCTCCTGAAGAGGTGCTTTCGAAGTGCACACATCAGCTCACCAGTGCCGCTGGATTCCTTACCAGTGCTTCATCGTCGGAGGACATTGCTCGCTCAGCTACTTCCAATGCAGTATCCCTCCTAGGTAATAACAGCGTGCCGCTTACTGACGATCTTACCGCTGCCACTGGCGAGCACTGCGAGGGCATGGCCGCCCGCGGTCTGCGCGTGCTGGGTCTTGCGGCCAAGATACTCTACGTCGACAGTGGCCTGCCGCTCACTGAAGAGACGTTGGGTGAAGCGTGGGCGGAATGCGATTTGGTGTTTGCTGGCCTGATCGGTCTGATAGACCCACCCAGATCGGGCATCGTCGAGTCGGTGCACCGCTGCCATGAGGCCGGTATCAAGGTCATTATGATCACCGGCGACCACATTGGCACTGCGTCGGCCATTGCTGAGTCTATCGGCATTCTGCAGCCAGACCATGTTGAGAACAGCCGTGCGATTACTGGTGCTGAACTAGACTTACTCTCTGACGAAGCCACCGCCATGCTTGACCCCTTCCCCAGCGTCTTTGCGCGCGTGTCGCCGGAGAACAAGATCAAGATCGTCAAGGCACTGCAACAGACCGGTCACATCGTTGCTATGACTGGCGATGGTGTCAACGATGCAGCAGCGGTCAAAGGCGCAGATATCGGCGTTGCCATGGGCCTCGGTGGCACCGACATCACCAAGGAGGCAGCAGACATGGTCCTTGTCGACGACAACTTCACGACCATTGTGGCAGCGGTTGAAGAGGGCAGGCGCATTTTCGACAACATCCTGAAGTTTATCCTGTACCTGCTCAGCTGCAACTCGGCCGAGATCTTCCTGTTCCTGTTCGCCTCGGTGCTCAATCTGGACCTGCCGTTCACAACAATCATGATTCTGTGGGCAAACATCATTGCCGACGTCCCGCCCGCGCTGTCGCTTGGTATGGACCCGCCCGAGTCCAACATTATGCGCCGCCCGCCAAGGAACCCAAAGAGCGGCATCCTAGTTTGGCGCACAACGCTGGTCCTGCTTGCGCAGGCGTTCTTCATGGCCGCAGTCACCTTTGGTGTCTTTTTGTTCGCTGTCCTGACACCCTTTGGCGTCACCGTGCTGGCAAGCAAGGATGGCACAAGCCCCGACCTCTACACAGCCTCGATCTTCCATCGGGGCAACCCAGAGACCAATGCCGACGAGAACATGTTTCCACATATTGCCGGCGCCCGCTCTGTGGCATTCGGTGTCCTCACCGTCTTGCAGCTGAATCAGGCATTCCTGTCACGCTCTGTGGACCGCAGTTTGCTTGATACGGGGCTGCGTTCCAACATGTGGATGGTCGGTGGTGTGCTTCTGTCGTTTGTTCTGTACATCATTGGCACATATGTACCCAGGCTCAATGACTGGCTTGAGCTGGTGCCACTGGGCTGGCCGGCTTGGGTCGTCATTGTTGCTGCCGTTGTGCTGCAGGTCGTCTTCAGTGAGCTCCTCAAGCTGGTGTTGCGCAAGACAGCCACATCCGCAGCCGGTTACGTGGCACATCGACGCAACACCTCTTCGGCGTGATACTTTCTTTTTGCATACAGAAGATACATGTGGCCTCTGATGTATGCAATAGTGGATATCGATGGGAAATAATATGATATTAGACAGATAAAAAAGGAAAGTAAATGCAAGTTAGAAAGTATAAACGCTGGGGGATGTGTGTGGTGGGTTTGGTCTACCGAGCAACACTCTGGCGCGGCTGCGGCTGAGGCTGTGCAGTGAATCCGCCCTTGGGAGTCGCGCCGTTGCGAGCACCAGGCAGTGAAGCTGGCGGCGGCACGCTGTTGGGCTTTTCGGCTTTCTGCTGCCTATCCGGTGTCTCTTGGCGTGGCTGTGGTGAGGGTCCAGCCGCACAGCTCTGCGCTGAAGACGATGACGATGAAGTGTATCCAACTGTATCTTCGCCCGTCGATGCAGGGGCGCCAGTGTTCAGGCGCTTCATCGGGTGCCCAACTGTGTCAGGGCTAGAGCCGCCGTTTGTGTGGCCGTTGGCTGGCGCCTCAGATGGCCGCACGCGCTTCACTCCAGCTGCAGCTGGTGGCAGAGGCGGTCTGGCTGCTGGCCGCACTGTTGGCCGGAACGGTGGTCTAGTGGCTGCGGCCGGTCTAGGAGTTGAAATTGGCCTAGGCGCCCCCACTGGCCTGGGTGCTGCCACTGGCCTGGGTGCTGCTGCTGCTGGCCTCGGTGCTGCTACTGGCCTAGGGGTAGAAGCAGGGCGCTGCTGCTGCTGCTGCTGCTGGACAGGGCCTGGCGCTGGCCTTGGCCTTGGCTGCAGGTGGTGGCCAGCACCAACCGCTGGCCATGGGCTAGGTCTCGGCCTCGGTGGCTGCTGCTGGCCAACACCAATCTTGGGCATAAGCTGTGGCGGAGGGCCATTTGCCCGCTGTGCATTTGGGCTAGCATCCTCTGGCAACGACTCCGCCGGCAGGCCCTTCCGTGCCCGCTCCTGCTCGCGCTCCTGCTGCATCGCCTTCTTTGTCCTACGTGTGCGCTTGTACACGCCGTTCGAGAACTGGCCTTTGTACGCATCGTCGATGGCCCAGTACGACCCCTTCCCAGGCTCATTGCTCGCACGCAGAACCTTGACAAAGGCCTTGTTCAGCGACAGGTTGTGGCGGATAGAGTTTTGCCAGCCGTTCTGCGCGTTTTTGTAGTACGGGTAGTTGTTCATGATGAATGTGTAAATGCCGTTCAGGGTCACCTTCTTCTCGGGTGTCGCATTTATCGCCTGCGCAATCAGAGACGCATACGAGTATGTTGGCTTCGCCAGCTCCAGGCTCTGCTCGGGCGGCGGCGGGGGTGGACGCTGCGTCGACGGCAGTATCCGGACACTGCTAGAGGCACTGCCAGGCGTCTGCGTCTGGGGCTGGTTCGGCTGCGGGCGCGGCTGGAACTGCTTGGAAGTTGAGTTCTGCTGTGGGAAATGTGCTGCCGACTGGGTGTAGGATCCGGTTGGGCTGACGCTGCTGTCGCCCGACCCTCCGCCACTATTCGCGTACACCGGTGGTTCGCCAAACGACAATGGGGCGGGCGGCTTGCCGTCATGACTCAAAATATTTGCGCCTGGAGGTGGCGGGCCAGGGCTGTACTGCGGAGTGCCAATGTATTCTGTCTTCACCACCGGCCGCGAGTACTTTGACTGGCGTGGATGGCCCGGCAGCGTGGGCATCATCATCATGTCTGCGCTCCCGTCCAGTGGGGGCGGCGGAACCGGGCGATTGTACAGGTTCAGCCGCTGTGGAGTAATAGTGCTGACCGGGTACACATCGTGCTGCGCAGCTATTTCAGCCGCAAGCGTGTTGCGGCCCAGAGTGCCCAGCGGCCCGCCGGTCTCCAGGGCTGCCGCTGGGGCTGCCACTTTGGGCAGCAGAAATGAGAACTCGGTATCGCCTATCTGAATCATCATCTTGTGCCGCAGGGTCACCGCCTGCCCGCGCTTGAAGTATTCGTCATCCACCAGACACCCGTTCTTCCCAAACACCTGCAGCTCAAAACTCTGCGACACAAAGTTGTAGAATATTTTGGCGTGCCGCCGCGACACTGCCTTGCTGTCGCCCAGATCAATATCGACCGATTCGTGGTGTGCGCTCGTCGGGTGGCGCCCCAGCGTCACCTCCAGCGTCCGCACATAATAGCAGAAATCAGGGCCCTCGAGCTTTGCGTATGCCTGGACCGGTGCCTGTGTGCTGTCCATATGCAGCTCTGTTGCACCATTCTGGGCCTCGTCATCGACTATATGCCGCCGGCTGTGGCTGTTTACTGGCGTTGTGTATTCGCTGTCGAATGTATGGTGTGTCGCCAGCTTTGGCGTCCGCAGAGGGTCTGAGTTTTTGCTCATTTCTGGGGACAATTGGGAAGGAGCGTGTGTAAATGCGCAGCGTATGTTTAGAGATAGTAGAAAAGAGTGAGAAGACAAAGGCGTAGCGAGAGTTTTTTCCCCACCGTCCCTTCAGATCATCAAAAAGAGCAACAAAAAACCTGTCCCAATAGTGTTTAAAATAGTGGCAATAATGGACGAAAAAGCGGATGAGAGAAACAACAAACAGTGGAATGTAAGAGTTCTGGTAAATAATGAGGATGGTATGCGCTTTTGTATTTTGAGCAAAAGGGGAGGAAAATGCGCGGGGAAAGAAGAGGGGGTGGAGCAGGGCAATATTTTGGCTTTGGTGTTTTTTGTTATCTCTTTCTGGCCGACAGCCTGGGCTGAGTATGAAAGAAAAAACAGCACTGTTGCAATTTTTTGAGGAGAAAATAATGGCACGCAATTAACTGCGCAGCCAGGCAAAATCGAGCAGTAACTCCCCTGGCTAGGAATAAGAAACGCCCACGCGCGCACAAAGAGAGGTTATCGAAAGCAAGGGCTGAAAATCAAGTTCAGCGATGCAGTTAACACAGACGCCTGGGGCCTTGGGGGAAGGGTTTCCCAGACCAGCGTACTATTCTCTGCGAGTCTTGATGCTATACACGCTGGTTGCGATACGTGCAGCAGAGTGGGGCAGTCGCAATCTGGTGTAAAAAGCAGAGGAGGGCGCAGAGGTAGAGGGTGCGCTGGCGAGTGGCAGAAAGAGTAGGAGAATATAAACAAGGCTCAGGCTTTGGAAAAAGAAAACAAACAAAACTCATCTGATCTGCTGCAGCTCGCTGCCTGCGCGTGCTCGGCTGCACGGTGTGCCACCCGCCCGCCAGCACATGGCCATCGGCATTTAACAGCAACAATGATTACATCAGGATTAAACACAAGCTGACGTGAAATGAGATGATATTACACTACATAGCCAAGATGGTAGGGGTGCACAATAGCCGGTCCCTCCCCACTCACAAGAGTTTATAGGTGGCGCCTGGACCACCGGTGTCTGTGTGCTCTTGTGCTCATATCGTGTCAAGTCTGAGAATGCAGTACATCGGGCACACATGGCCCGGCGCACATTGGTTGCTGCACCCGATGGTGTCTACTGGTGTGGAAATGTGAATGGGCCCACCAAGCCCGACGTGAGGCAGCGGCACCGCCGCCACTGACTGCTTCAGCAGCGAGGTAGTTTCTGTTGGTCGTGTTACCGTATGCCCTGCACCGTCGCTGTCACCGCACTTGTCCGCCATGCTTTCGCCACCAACGCCAGAACCCAGCAGAATTGCAGTAGTTAGGAGTGAATGCCTGATTTTCATTTGATGTTACCTTTGATGAACAAATACACAGCAAAGAGATGATGGCTGTCCTTGTATATGTAGTGGTTAGGTTGCAGGTGCCCCTCCTGCTGTTGAAAGGGTGGCCGAATATCGACAAGTCTCGTCCTCCTGATCACTTGGCTGGGCAAGACACTGGGCAGATCCGCCTTGGGCGTAAACAAGTAATGCAAGGCGTCTATTGATCAGTAACGCAATATAATCCACATTTTCCACCATTCGCCCATTGGCGAACTGCATCCACACGAATATATCCATAAATGCATCATCAGTTCCTCATGGTCATGAGGAATAACACCGGACAGCTATTCTTCTCATTCGCTTATCGAAAAATATCATACACTCTTCAAGCCAACATCCAGCTATTGTTTGCTGCGCATCAAACCTCAGCGAAACAAAGGCACTGAAATCACACCTGCCACATAATGAGCAAGCTGTGGAGTCTATTTTTCAAAGGTGCGGTGTTGGTTGCGCCCACTGCCACGTATGTCATACCGAAAGCAACCAACGCCATGCAAAAGACATTCACACAAACAACCGAATCGCCAGTAGTGACAGACGTTAGCTCGACAGGATCATCGTCTGACGGGTGCTTTTATTTTTGCCCCCACTGTCCACGCGGCTACTGCCTTTTCAGATGCATGACGCTATGCCCAGATTTCGTGCCTGCAACATCCGCACATTCGATAACAACAGTGCCGATGTCTAGCGAAACACCGACTACAACATATACGCCAACACAAACAACTGTCTTAACCACAGATGGTGCTGAAGGAACAAAGAGGCATAGTATCGCAAGGCATTATCATACCGCTTTGCTGCCGACGCTCTATTGATAGTTGATTAGTCAAGAAAGCATTGTGCTTATCGCTATCAGGCTGTCGTTCATGTGCTGTGCTTGACAGATCACGATTCCCACCATGGAGCGATTCATTTGTCCGCCAAGGGTAAGTGCCTAAATGGCTGGTGTTGATGGGGTGGTTATTCGATAGCTCTTTAGGTCCAGTACCGTAAACATCTATATGTCTGTTAAATATATATGTAATCGATGTAAGCGCTTGGTATGTTGTCGACTCATGCTGTAAACACAACCCCTGTAGCTTTGTTGTTTATTGGACATGTTTGATTATCAACTCGTCTGATACTGACTCGCACTTTCCGCCTACTCGCCCAGCATCATGGTGGAATATGCAGCTGGGTTAATGCGTGGTATATACTTGCATATTTATTTAGCTTTAAGTCTACCAGTGGCTTTAGTGGCTGAAGTCAAAGCACAAGAATGCTGCGATTCACTAGAGGGCACCCAGGTCTTATTCACCATGGGTTTCGTGGTTTTCATTGCTGGCGAGCGGGCTAGTGTCCATGTTCTTTACTCCAGGTGGAATAGGTACCCAGCATTCGCCCTTTTTGCACTGGTCTGGGTTTGGACACGGCAAGCAATCGAGCTTCACGATCAGGCCGCTGGCGACATAGCTGAGGGTGATTATGGCGAGCGTCCACTTCATTCTTTTCGGTATGTAGAAGACAGGGAAGAGGTGATAGTGTGAGGGTATGTAGGGCGAGGTAATAGAGAAAGAAAACCGGCTTGTTTGCAGCAAGTTCAAGGACGAGAAATAACAAAGAGAGAAAATGTGAATGTTGGTTTGTCGGCTAGCATATGCCAATGTAGATGCCGAAAAATGGGCAGCATTTATACTGGAGGCGATTGCCGGCAAATGGCAATTGATCAAGGGCATGTAGCTACATTCTTCCCCAAATTGATTGGTGTGGTGGAATAAAGCGTATACTTTAGGATTCAGCCCTCCAATCCTTTTAGCACTTGATAGTCGAGCTTGACAAACTGGGCGCATTTTTCTACTTCCATTGAAAATGTATATACAAGCAAATCAGTGAGTCCAAGCTGCCCAAAAAAAAGCAGATGCCACTTGGGGCGGTTGTCAGATTACACGTATCCAAACCCCATTCCGCTTCCTTCATTTATGATAAATATGCAGTCAAATACATTTCAATCTAAATATTAATGTCGGCCCAATTCAGTTTGTCGGACAGTTGAGGACATTTGGCGGAATGAAACGAAGAGGACAGTGGTGAGAAAGATTGTTTGCATGTCGCCCAAAATTTTTGACTCGGCAATATAACGGAAATGATGTATTTGGTATGCCGGTCATGAGAGCACGCCTACTCAGCTTTGGACTTTTTGTTCTTCTTGGTCCTTGGATTTCTTGTCCTTGGACTTCTCACTCTTTCCGACTTGTCTTTCTTGTCCTTCTTGTCCTTCTTGTCCTTCTTGTCCTTCTTGTCCTTCTTATCCTTCTTTTCCTTCTTCGCCTTGGGCTTGCCCTCCTCGTCATTATCATCGTCGGCCTTGCGCTTCTTGCCCTTGTCCTTTTTCTCGGCCTTGTCCTTTTTCTCCTTCTTCTCCTTCTCCTTCTTCTCCTCCTCAGCCTTTTCCTTTTCGATCTGCTCCGCCTTATTCTTCAACTGCTCCACGGTGGACGTTGGCACGTTAGGCTTCTGCTTGTTGGCACCTTGGCATTGGCTTTGGTATTACCCTTGTAGAGCTTGCCCTCGTACTTTTGCGCCTCGGTCATGCACGATGTGTGCTGGCGGTAGGTTGTGCCGACAAAATCAACACCGCAGTCAATGCATGAGAAGGACGCGTAGTGGCAGCGCTGAGCGTGCTGATCGAGCTTTGGCTTTTTGATCGTTTCCTGGCACGAATTGCAGACAAAAGAAACCATAGCTGATGATACAGGGGCTTTGGGGAGGGAGGGAAGTGTTGGTAACAGCAGTGGAGAAGAGAAAGGGCTGGCTTTTTGCGGTCGGGATGGGTTCCGCTGCTAGACAGCTGAAAAAAAAAACGGCTGTGCAGAGGATGAATCTTTGGAAGTTTTCTAGATCGGACTGATTAATATTACGGGCCGATCACGGACACCTTCGGCTACGTAGGCTATGTTGGTTTACTAGGACATCAATTTAGTGATAGGGTGAACTTGGTAAAGTGAAGAAAGAAATAATAGGGAAGGGGGATGCAGACGCGACTTACTCCCACGCCTTCTTGATATCCATGTTCCAGTCCCACTCCAGGTGCACGTTGTTGTCGTCGTCGACAAACTTGCCCTTGACTGCATAGCTGCCGCGCGCCAGCATGCCCGACGGCGCCTCGTCGGGCGGGAACTGCTTCTCGTACGGCTCCACATTCGGGCCGTAGCTGCCAGCATCTCCTCGCTGCGGTCAACCCGAATGCCCTTGCGCTTCACCACCTGCAGGAACTTGAGCCCGGACACCACATCGTGCTGGATCTTGAAGCGGATCGTCAGACTGTACACGACGCCCTCCTTGATCACAATAGTGCGCTTCGACAGTGCCTCGACAGCCGCCGCCGACGACAGGTCCATTACCACGTCGTCGCGGCCGTCAACCTTCAGGATAAGCGCAAGCACCACGACCTTGCGGGGGTCGTCCGACGGCGCAGCCGCTATATAAACATAGACTTTA